CAGATAAAATAAAATTCAAAACAAAGAAAGTAACAAGAGATAAAGAAGGACATTACATAATGATAAAGGGGTCAGTCCAACAAGAGGATGTAACCATTATAAATATATATGCACCCAACACAGGAGCACCAACATATGTGAAACAAATACTAACAGAACTAAAGGAGGAAATAGAATGCAATGCATTCATTTTAAGAAACTTCAACACAGCACTCTCTCCAAAGGACAGATTAAGCAAACAGAAAATAAGTAAGGACACAGATGCACTGAACAACACTCTAGAACAGATGGACCTAACAGATATCTACAGAACTCTACACCCAAAAGTAGCAGGATACACATTCTTCTCAAGTGCACATGGAACATTTTCCAGAATAGGCCACATACTAGGCCACAAAAAGAGCCTCAGTAAATTAAAAAAGATTGAAATTCTAACAACCAACTTCTCAGATCACAAAGGTATAAAACTAGAAATAAATTGTACAAAGAAAACAGAAAGGCTCACAAACACAAGGAGGCTTAACAACATGCTCCTAAATAATCAATGGATCAATGACCAAATTAAAACAGAAATCAAGCAATATATGGAGACAAATTAAAACAACAGCACAATGCCCCAACTACTGTGGGACACAGAGAAGGCAGTTCTAAGAGGAAAGTATATAGTAATCAAGGCCTATTTAAAGAAGAAACAACAATCCCAAATGAATAGTCTAAAGTCACAATTACTGAAACTGAAAAAAGAAGAACAAATGAGGCCCAAAGTCAGCAGAAGGAGGGACATAATAAAGATCAGAGCAGAAATAAATAAAATTGAGAAGAATAAAACAATAGAAAAAAAATCAGTAAAATCAAGCACTGGTTCTTTGAGAAAATTAACACAGTAGATAAACCCCTAGCCAGACTTACTAAGAGAAAAAGGGAATCAACACACATAAACAGAAACAGAAATGAGAAAGGAAAAATCACAACAGACACCACAGAAATACAAATAATTATTAGAGAATACTATGAAAATCCATATGCCAACAAGCTGGATAACCTAGAAGAAATGGAAAACTTTCTAGAAAATGACAACATTCCAAGACTGACCAAAAAGAAACAGAATATATAAACAGACCAATTACCAGCAATGAAATTGGATCAGTAATAAAAAAATGACCCAAGAACAAAACCCCTGGTCCAGATGGATAAACTGCTAAATTTTATCAAACATTTAAAAAAGACACAATACCCATTCTCCTTAAAGTTTTCCAAAAAAATAAAAGAGGAGGGAATACTTCCAAACTCACTCTATGAAGTTAGCAACACTCTAATACCAAAACCAGGCAAAGACACACAAAAAAGAAAATTACAGACCAATATCCCTGATGAACATAGATGCAAAAATACTCAACAAAATATTAGCAAACCAAATTAAAAAATACATCAAGAAGATCATACACCATGTCCAAGTGGGATTCATCTCAGGGATGTAAGGATGGTTTAACATTCAAAAATCCATCAACATCATCTACTACATCAACAAAAAGAAGGGCAAAAACCACATGATCATCTTCATACATGCTGAAAAAGCATTAGACAAAATTCAACATCCATTCATGATAAAAACTCTCAACAAAATGAGTATAGAGGACAAGTACCTCAACATAATAAAGGCTATATATGACAAAACCACAGCCAACATCATACTTAACAGCAAGAAGCTGAAAGCTTTTCACCTAAGATTGGGAACAAGGCAGGGGTGCCCACTCTCCCCACTTTTATTAAACATAGTGCTGGAGGTCCTACCCATGGCATTCAGACAAAACAAAGAAATAAAAGGCACCCACATTGGTAAGGAAGAAGTCGAACTGTCACTATTTGCAGATGACATGATATTGTACATAAAAAACCCTAAAGAACCCACTCCAAAACTAATATCTGAATTCAGCAAATTTGCAGGATACAAAATTAATAAACAGAAATATGCTACATTCCTATACACTAATGAAGATCTAGCAGAAAGAGAAATCAGGAAAACAATTCTAATCATAATTGCATCAAAAAGAATAAAATATCTAGGAATAAACCTAATGAAGGAAGTGAAAGATGTATACCCTGAAAACTACAAGACATTCCTAAGAGAAATTAAAGACTACACTAATAAATGGAAACTCATCCCATGCTCTTGGCTAGGAAGAATTAATATTGTCAAAATGGCCATCCTGCCTAAAGCAATCTACAGATTCAAGGCAATCCCTATCAAAATACCAACAGCATTCTTCAATGAACTGGAACAAATAGTTCTAAAATTCATATGGAACCACCAAAGACCCCGAATAGCCAAAGCAATCCTGAAAAGGAAGAATAAAGTGGGGGGAATTACACTCCCTCACTTCAAGCTCTACTACAAAGCCATAATAATCAAGATAATTTGCTACTGGCACAAGAACAGACCCACAGACCAGAGGAACAGACTAGAGAGTCCAGATATTAACCCAAGTATATATGGTCAATTAATATATAATAAAGTAGCCATGGACATATAATGTGGAAATGACAGCCTCTTCAACAGCTGGTGTTGGCAAAACTGGACAGCTACATGTAAGAGAATGAAACTGGATTACTGTCTAACACCATACATAAAAGTAAACTCAAAATGGATCAGAGACATGAATGTAAGTTATTAAACCATAAAACTCTTAGAAAAAAACATAGGCAAAAATCTCTTGGACACAAACATGAGCAACTTCTTCATGAACATACCTCCCTGGGCAAGGGAAACAAAAGCAAAAATGAACAAATGTGACTATATCAAGCTGAAAAGCTTCTGTACAGCAAAGGACACCATGAATAGAACAAAAAGGCATCCTACAGTATGGGAGAATATATTCATAAATGATATATCCAATAAAGGGTTGACATCCAAGATATATAAGGAGCTCAAGCACCCCATCTAACAAAAAGCAAATAATCCAATTAAAAAATGGGCAGACACTTCTCCAAAGAAGAAATTCAGATGGCCAACAGGCACATGAAAAGAGCTCCACATCACTAATCATCAGAGAAATGCAAATTAAAACTACAATGAGATATCATCTCACACCAGTTAGGATGGCCACCATCCAAAATACAAACAACAACAAATGTTGGCAAGGTTATGGAGAAAGGGGAGCCCTCCTACACTGCTGGTGGGAATGTACATTAGTTCAACCATTGTGGAAAGCAGTATGGAGGTTCCTCAAAAAACTCAAAATAGAAATACCATTTGACCCAGGAATTCCACTCCTAGAATTTACTCAAAGAAAACAAGATCACAGATTCAAAAACATATATGCACCCCTATTTATCACAGCACTATTTACAATAGCCAAGAAATGGAAACAACCTAACTGTTCATCAGTAGATGTATGGATAAAGAAGACTTGGTACATATAAACAATGGAATATACTCAGCCATAAGAAGAAAACAAATCCTACCATTTGCAACAACATGGATGGAGGTAGAGGGTATTATGCTCAGTGATATAAGCCAGGTGGAGAAAGACAAGTATAAAATGATTTCACTCTTCTGTGGAGTATAAGAACAATGAAAAAAAAAACTGAAGGAACAAAACAGCAACAGACTCACAGAACCCAAGAATGGACTAACAGTTACCAAAGGAAAAGGGACTTGGGAGGATGGTGGGAATGGAGGGAGTAGAGGGAAAAAGGGGTATTATGATTAACACCCATGGTGTGTGGGGGGGCACAGAGAGGGCAGTGCAACACAGAGAAGACAAGTAGTGATTCTATAGCATCTTACTATGCTGATGGACAGTGACTGTAATGGGGTATATGGTGGGGACTTGATAATGGGGGGAGTCTAGTAACCATAATGTTGCTCATGTGATTGTACATTAATGATACCAGTGGAAAAAAAAGAAAAAAAAGATTGACTAATCAATGTACATTTGAGTTAAAGCAAAATGTTTCCCAAGTTATCAGTTCATTTTTCATGATTCTCTGTGTAAAGACTTAACTGAACACTCCCATTCCATCCTATCAGTTAAGAGTCCTGCTACTGTATATACTTAAGGAGGCTGAATCCACAAAGTAGAAGTGGGAATAAAATACACAATATTTGGAAAGAAATTGCAGTAACGTGCCAAATGATTAGGCTATAGTATTAATTGGAACACTAGTGTACAAAACACTATCTACATTTATACCTCCTGTGGTCTCAGCTGCACTAATTCCTTCCATTTCTGTGTGCATGTCCCTTTATGGTGTAAGTTGGCTGTTTTTTCATTAAGAGTTGGAGTCTATTCCCCATCCTGTTGCACTGGGCTGACCTTGTAGATTGCTTTGATGATAGAGTGTGGTCATCCCAGGCCTCAAGAGGACATGTGGCTTCTGCTCTCCCCATCTTGGAACACTGCCCTGAGACTGCCACATGAGGAAGCCAGGTCTGTTCTAGGAGACAGAGGCCACATGGAGCAGAGACAGCACTCCAGCTGAGGCCCCTTATGCTAACAAGCCAGGGCTTGCATCAGCCACTCCTGAAGGAGGCCATCTTAGATCATTCTGCCCCAGGCAAGCCACCACGTGGCCACAGCCTCACGAATAAGCCCAGGAGAAACCAGCATAACTGCCTAGCTAGTCACAGCCCACACTGAAGATCTATAGATTGGTTGTTATTTGAAGTCATTAGGTTTTGGGCTGGTGGTATACTACAACAGTTTACAGAATCTGACAGAAAAGCCATGCATTTAAAAAAAACAAGGAAGCAAACAACACAGTCGACAAAGCATTCTGCAGGAATGTGCTTTTAGGTGGCAAAGAGGCCTTGGATTGGGAAGTGAAAATTGTGGCTCAGGAATTAATGGCTTATTCTATTTATTATTTATTAAAAACCTGTACATTTCTCAACATTTTCCAGGCTAAACCTACCTAGAAGGGAAATCCATTTTTCAAAGGTAGTATTAAATTTTTACATTATTAAAATAAAATGAAGAAATTAAAAAATATGAACTTACCATGGTTTTAGTGCAGTATCCTAAGGCACTTTCATAGTGGACCTGATCTTTTATTTCTAATACTTTTGGGCCATATGACTCCACAATTATATGCACACCAGTATTTTCTGGATAGACTACTTGAGCCCAAATTGACAGGTTCTGTCCCTTGTCCAAAAAGTAAAAAACATGTAAAATATTATTATGAAATACCATGTAGGGGCATCTTTCTTTTGTTTTGAAAGCCATACTTTGTGCTTCCAGTTTTAAGGGGTAGTCCTGTGGATGAATTGTGCCATCTTCAAAAACATATATGAGATATATTTGACCAAAGGTATTCAAGGAAATTAGCGATTTTGTTGAGCTATTTGTCCATAAGTGTAGCTTTACTGCATCTCTAATATTAATCTTGAAATAAAACATAATATTATTTTCCATTTTTACCAGGATATTTCCAAAATAATCTGGAAAAAAGAGAGAAAAGTTTGTGTTATCCCAAACAACCATACATCCATGTTGTTTTACATAAGTGCACTTTCAGTCAAAATAATTTCTTTTATAATTACTGAGTATTTATATATTTTGAGAAAATTAGGATGTGCAGGCACAAAACCACAACTTTTCATGATGCTGGAGAACTCTCCCACTTCATAGGAGAGCAGTTTTTTACTCTGTACCTTTCTCCTTGCATTCACTATATCACTTTTGTATATCACATCATTCACATAGAAAAAAAGCTGGAATTAGTATATTAAACAATAATGAGGAGGAGCATGACAGGAATGGTTTTAGTAGGAAGCATTGTGGCCTCCCAAAAATGTATATGATGAAGCCTTAACTCCCATTGTGACTGTATTTGGAGAAAGAGTCTTTAAAGATGTACTTAAGTTTAAATGAGGTCATAAGGGTGGGACCTTATTCCAATATGACTGGTGTCCACCAGAGATCTCACTTTCTCTGCACACAGAGGAAAGGCCATGTGAGGAAACAATGAGAAGGTGGCTGCTGTCTCCAAGCCAGGAAAAGAGTCCTCACCAAAAACCAACACCGATGACACCTTGATCTTGGACTTCCAGCCTCCAGAACTGTGAGGAAACAAATTTCTTTTGTTTAAGCCACTTAGTCTATGGTATTTTGCTAAGGCAGACATAACAGACTAAGACAACTGGGAAGAAGAAATGGGAGTGAGTGGATGGGGGAGCACCTCTTCAGTTTCACTCTGTAAATAATCAACTTTCTCCCCTTAATATTTTGCCTAAATCATAGAGGTTCATAGACAATAAATTTATCCACTTTGGCTCTGTTGCTGTATCTGTAAAACAAACAGTTGGACTAGTTGATTTCATAGCTTTTTTTCCAAATATGACATTATATGTGTACAGTTTCTAGGAGAATGATTTTTAATTTTCAAAATGCAACACTTAAAGAGACTGGATGCAAGAAGAAAGGTGAATTCATAATTAGGGGGGTCTCGAATGTACTGCACACCTGCATCATACATTTGGAATCTAAAAAATACATTTTCACAAATTACCATAAATTACATTTTAATCATACTCCTAAATCAGAAATGCTGGATATTTTAAGGATCAGAATACTTTAATAAGATATCAGAGTCAAGATATATTTCCTTATAAAGTTAAGCTCCCATATAGTTAAAATGTTGTTGGTAGGAATTTGGATTTAAGATGACAGCGTGAGCGGTGAGACAGAGAATTCCTCCCAAAACCACAGATAGTATGCAAATGTAGTTAATACAACTAACCCTAAAACAACAACAAGAAAGAAGGCTGAACCAGACTGCACACAGACCTCATGAACAGAGCAGACTTCATGAAACAGGGTAACATACGAAAGCCTTAATCAGGCAGGACCCAAGCCCTTCCCCCACCCCAGCTCACCAGAGGAAAGAAGAGAAATGGAGTGGGGGAGGGGGTGGAAGCCTGTGACTGCCAAACACCCAACCCTGGAGGTCTGCTTTGGGAGCAGAAACCTACACTGTGTGGTGCTCTGGAACGTTGGGGAGCTCAGACAGGTGGAGTGCTTGAGAGACAGATTCTGGCCATTTGTGGAGGCAGGGATCCACACCTGGCCACTCTGGAAGAAGGGAAAGGCAGGCAGTCTGTGAGGCTTCCTAGCAGCGAGAGGGCTGCTGAAGGAGCAGGGTTTGCACAGAGCTTGCTATGTAGGGGAGGGGAGAGCTGAACAAGGTTGTCTGTTTGCACTCTTCCCAGCTGGTTGGGAACTTTGAGGAGCTTCAGGTGCCCCATCCCCCTGGCTGCCTACTCAGCTTCAAGGCCCCCACTGTGACATGCAGACTGCTGCACCTTCCTCCTAGTCTGCCAACACCAGTTCACAAACCTGCAGTCACTGTGCTGGCATCAGGCCAGCCAGAGAGAGACCCCGCCTACAATAGCTAGAGATGGAAAGCACAGAAGCTTACACCTGTGTGCTTGGTCCACTGGCTCTGACACTGGAGACAGGCACTGCAGAACAGGAATCAGGAAACAGATCTTTCCTCATCTGAGATACCAGCTCTGTTACCCAACAACCCCCAACCTCACTCTAGGGGCTGAGCAGCTCCAGAGACTGGAGCATCTGGGCACTAGTGGGCACCACACAGAAATATGAAATGTTAAAAGAACATGGTTGAGACGAAAATCTCACAAACCTGAGAAAAAGGGTCAAATGAACCTGAACTCACCAATCTGCCTGAAACAGAGTTCAAAATAAAAATCACAAACATGCTATGGAGGTACAGAAAGATATTCAAAAACTCAGGAAAGAATTTAAGTTGGAGATTCAATCATTAAGAAATTCCATATCTGAAATGAAACATACAATGGAGGGATTTAAAAGCATATTAGATGTAGTAGAAGAGACACTAAATGGAATAGAAATTAGGGAGGAGGAATACAAAGAAGCTGAGGCACAAAGAGAATAAAGAATCTCTAAGAATGAAAGAATATTGAGAGAATTGTGTGATGAATCCAAATGGAACAATATTCATATTATAGGGGTACCAGAAGAAGAGACAGAGAGAGAGAAAGGGATAGAAAGGGTAATTGAGGAGGTAATTGCTGAAAATTTCCCCAGTCTGCAGAAGGAGATAGTCTCTCAAGTCATGGAGGTGCACAGATCTCCCAACACAAGGGATCCAAGGAAGACAACATCAAGACATATAATAATTAAAATGGCAAAGTTCAAGGATAAAGACAGACTATTTAAAGCAGTCAGAGAGAGAAAAAAGAAAAAGATCACATATAAAGGAAAACCCATCAGGGTATCATCAGACTTCTCAACAGAAACCTTACAGGCAAGAAGGGAGTGGCAAGATATATTTAAAGCAATGAAGCAGAAGAGCCTTGAACCAAGAATACTCTACCCTGCAAGGTTATCATTTAAATGTGAAGGAGGGATTAAACAATTTTCAGATAAGAAAAAGTTGAGAGAATTTACCTCCCACAAACCACCTCTACAGTGCATTCTGGAGGGACTCCTATAGATGGAAGTGTTCCTAAGGCTAAATAGATGTCACCCAAGGGATAGACAAAGAGTACAGAATATGATTCATAACATACAAATAATGGAGGAGGAAAAAAAAGGAGGAAAAAAAAAGAAATCTTAGGGTGTGTTTGTAATAGCAAGTTAAATTAGACTGTTAGATAGTAAGTGAATTGCCCATGAACCTTAGGTAACCACGAATCTAAAGCCTGCAATGGCAATAACTACATACCAATCGATAATCAACCTAAATGTAAATGGTCTGAATGCACCAATCAAAAGACATAAAGTCACTGAATTGATTAAAAAACAAGACCTGTCTATATGCTGCCTATAAAGAGACTCACTTCAAACCCAAAGACATACATAGACTGAAAGTAAAGGGATGGAAAAAGATATTTCATGCCACTAACAGGGAGAAAAAAGCAGGAGTTGCAGTACTTGTATCAGACAAAATAGACTTCAAAACAAAGAAAGTAACAAGAGACAAAGAAGGACATTATGTAATGATAAAGGGGTCAGTCCAACAAGAGGATATAACTGTTATAAATAACTATGCACCCAACACAGGATCACCTACATATGTGAAACAAATACTAACAGAATTAAAGGAGAAAATAGAATGCAATGCATTCGTTTTAGGAGACTTCAACACACCACTCACTCCAAAGGACAGATCAACTGACAGAAAATAAGTAAAGAGACAGAAGCACTGAACAATATATTAGCACAGATGGAACTAACAGACAGCTACAAAACACTCCATCCAAAAGCAACAGGATACACATTCTTCTCAAGTGCACATGGAACATTTTCAAGAATAGATCATATACTAGGCCACAAAAAGAACCTCAGTAAATACAAAAAGACTGAAATTGTACCAACCAGTTCTCAGATCACAAAGGTATGAAATTAGAAATAAATCACACAAAGAAAATGAAAAAACCCACAAACACATGGAGGCTTAATAACATGCTCCTAAATAATCAATGGATCAATGAACAAATAAAAACAGAGATAAAGCAATATATGGAGACAAAAGACAACAATGATTCAATAACACAAAATCTGTGGGACACAGAGAAGGCTGTGCTAAGAGGGAAATATATTGCAATACAGGCCTACCTCAGGAGAGAAGAACAATCCCAAATGAACAGTCTGAACTCACAGTTAATGAAACTAGAAAAAGAAGAACAAAGGAGGCCCAAAGTCAGTAGAAGGGGGGATGTAATAAAGATTAAAGCAGAAATAAATAAAATTGAGAAGAATAAAACAGTGGAAAGAATTAATGAAAGCAGAAGCTGGTTCTTTGAGAAAATAAACAAAATAGATAAACCCCTAGCCAGACTAATCAAGAAAAAAAAGAGTCTACATACATAAACAGAATCAGAAATGAAAAAGAAAAAATCACTTTAGACACCACGGAAATACAAAGAATTATGAGAGAATACTATGAAAAATTATCTGGTAACTAACTGGATAACCTAGAAGAAATGAACAACTTTCTACAAAATTACAACCTTCCAAGGCTGACCCAGAAAGAAACAGAAAATCTGAATAGACCAATTACCAGCAAAGAAATTGAATTGATAATAAAAAAACTACCTAAGAACAAAATCCCTGTCCCAGATGGTTTCACTGCTGAATTTTATCAAACATTTAATGAAGATCTAATATCCATCCTCCTTAAAGTTTTCCAAAAAAGTAGAAGAGGAGGGAATATTCCCAAAGTCATTCTATGACATTGACATCACTGTAATACCAAAACCAGGCAAAGACACCACACAAAAAAGAAAATTACAGACCAATATCCCTGATGAACATAGATGCAAAAATACTCAACAAAATATTAGCAAACCAAATTAAAAAAATACATCAAAAAGATCATCCATCATGATCAAGTGGGATTCATCCCGGGGTTGCAAGGATGGTACAACATTCCAAAATCCATCAACATCAT